AAGCTATTTAGTAACATACTGTGCATGCCTTAGTCGATCAAACGCAGCTACTGCATTTGTTCGGTAGAGATTACCACTCGCTTCTTCTTTTCTATGATAAAACCGGTGCTCGAGTATGGACCACCAGCTTATTAACTAATCATCAGTAGTGGTGTGCAAAGACTGCAACGGGTTTGGTATATAGCCGCCAGACTCATCCCCAAGTTACGAGGTATGTAGTACGGAGACTGATACACCTTAATAGGGCTGTACACCAACTCAGGTGGTAACTTCCGAGTGATCCTCATTATCACAACCTAGAGATAGTATCTGTTACTACTCCAAGCTAATGCCACTGTTGCACTTGTGCACACCAAGCTTCATTCCCGGCCACCGGTGCAAGTCTGTGGTACCGCAAAAAAGCTCTATGCTTCTCTATGCTTGGAGCGGCGGGTGGTGAAATTAAAACTATTTGATCTAGAAATTAAACGAGGCAAAATCGATGGCGGAATTCAAACATTTACCAGACACCCCATTTGCAAATTTCTGATACAGGGATGGCGCTGCAACCGAATATCCTACGGCACAGAAGTAACATGTCGCGCAATCGTGTATACCAGTGACATTTCTCAGCGTAAGTGCCCGATCCAACTACGACCGTGTGACACAAATGTGCATATACTAGCACACTATTTTCACCATCCAGTATTCAGCATATATTAGAAGCACACTGATTGCAACCGCTCAAATCACGGTTGCATGTAGGTTGGAAAGTGTAGAATTCCAAAAACGAGCATCCATTGACATCTTACATTGGAAAGCCTGAATTTGCTGTCAGCTACACGTTATTTTATAATAGTGCGTGCAAACTTAAAGAACGATCATGGTGTCGTCAGGTCGTAGATAGTTTTTATGTATAAACTTTTGAGGATATTTTGATAGTGTTGCACAGGTTTAAACTTCTACTTTCTCCCATAATATGTTATTCAGTATTCCCCGTTCGTATAAGCGGTACGAAAACCACGGAGTATGTAAATTTTAAACTTGTGAGCTTCACGGATTCCTTCTGTCAGATTTCTGAATATTTGCTAGCTGAAACATCCATTATGTCATTTGTGCAAACTAATGACCATTTTATATCTGATGTGGTTGATGACAGGTCAAGATTAGCGTGAACGTTGTTAATAAAAAGGTTTTCTAGATTAAGATGTGACGTTCAGTGCATTAGGTACCGTGGTAAATCCGAAAGTAATCCGAGCTCTTCCTTTATCATTTAATCATATTTAAAGTTAGCTACAGAAGCCGATAGAAATAATTTACTTATCGTGCTTGCCGCCGTAATTCCCATATTATCCGATAAGGATAGCAATATAACAAGTACGCCAAGACGTTACAAGTAAAATTAGCAAGATTACCGGAATTCCTTAACTATCTCTATCTAATTCGGTGTCTCCCAAAACCGTACTGTAGGTATATAGCAACATGTAAGAGAACTATTGAGACTATTAAGCCACTGGAAAGTGTACCAGTGGTGGTTTATTGAAAGATTTTGGGTAGCAATGGTCAGTATTTTCCTGAAACACTTACCACGTTAACGGGCGTCCAGAAGTTACAACACATTCAAAATGTTATTGGAACCAAATGGATATTACTCAGTTCTTATATTATTCTATAACAATGTATATTAGGAATACTACACGTGTTCACTAAATCAATTATATTTATCGTGATACCCATTTACTTGATAAGACTAAGTAAGGAATGTTATACAAAACATTGTAAGGCATTGTTAAAAAGTTTATCATCAAACCTTGTTTCATGTAGTGGTTCATTAATTTTAGGTCCAATTAGTTATGATGTAGAGAGAGAATTCACAGGTAACAGTGATAAATCTAGTAGCTTTGTTCTGATACCCTTAAACATTACAAGTTTTCTTGTACCTGTGTAGATGGATCTAATTTGCTTATTATACTGCACTATATAGAAAAATTGGACTACTAAGTCAAGTGAAGGCTTGAAAAGGAATGAGCATTACAACGAGAAATGGCGTCATCCACGCGTCATTCAAATCACAGTTACTCCGTTATACCACTTTAAATCTTGTAAGGTATACATTATCAAAGATCCAATTGTGATGTGACATTAGTATTGTTAACTGAAAAAGCTTTTAACGATTTTATTTAATGCCCTTGATGCTGAAGCCAAGTGGATTAAGGCGAGTAGTTTATTTCTATTCAGCTTAGACGGTTTGTCTAAACAATGGTTGATTAAGCATAACAAATGTACTTAGAAACTTTTCATAAATGCCCCGGTTTGGTATTGTGCATTTACAAATCGCAAACAATCACCTTGGTCAATCTTATGTTATACTTCTATTTATATATATACGTATATGTACATTCGTTATTTTAATGTAAGGACAACTACAACTCCACTCACCTCAGTTTTGTGGGGCGGGGAGCTGATGTGTACTGCGGTTGTTTGTGTTAGGTTGTCTTTCGTTAAACACAGGTCATGCAGTATTAAAAAAACCGAGTGCAAATATATCAGTTTGAACCATATCTACATAGGCAACGCAAGCTTTATGTTTGAGGCAGAAGCTTCAAGTTGCTGAATGAGTTGTTGTGAGCAAATTAGTCTTGCAGTACAGTTAAATACATTAGTGAAAACGATATAATCTGTAATCCATGTTGGTTTTCCACCATATTTTTAATCTTGAATAGTGATTAGTAGGCTAGTAATACTTTATAGAACGCTCAATATGCATTTCTGGTTGAAAGTAATCAGTATCCTAATACTTAACTTTAGAGTATTTCTTCTAATGCACTAAACTGAATCCTAGGATAAAATGATGAAACCATTTGTCATACCGTGACTTCCATTTCCTCTGAACAATTCATATCAGATGCCGTAGAATCTCAGTTTCTGCATGAGATTACTACCTCTGCGGTGCTTCCGAGTAAGGCTGTGCATACATAAAGCGCTTTTTCCCTTTTGTGTGCAAATTACCGCGAAGTAGTTTATTAAATATATTTACTTAACCGTAAATTGTCAGAAATGAAAAGGTAAGGGATTGCTTCTAGCTATAGTTTTTATATCAGAAAGTTGAATTTTGAACAGATAGAAAGCGATAGTACTTAAAACGTTTCTAAGATCAGTTATTGATCACTATTGGCTCTCATGTTGCGCATTTGGATTAGACCTATTACAAGGTCTACAAATATGATGAACCCGGTTGATCCATTTTGCGAGCGTGTTTTTAAGGATATATACTTGGTCCTAAAACGCTTTCTTTTGACCATGAAATACGCAGTAATCAAAAATATGTGAATTATGGTCTAACTGAAGGATACATTTCATCCACATAGTCATTCTTGGACGTGCTGTTGTCTTCCTCAACGTGAATATGAAGCCGCCCATTCCACTTGTTCATAGGCAACCTAACCGTGGATGAATTAGGAATTCAACACCATCACCAGTAAATATGATAACTTATTAGGTTTACAACCTTATTAACTAATCTTTAAACCGTTAGTTTAGCGGGATTTATTTCTTTGTGCTGCAATTTAGGCCGTCACTATGAGCTCATAAAAAACTGACCAAAGAAAGTGCCCAAACTGACACCCCAACCGCTGGCAGCTGATTAAACCTAGGCTGTCTCGGAGTAATACGGTTATAACCGTATAGCAACATCCGAATAAACTGATCTTATGGCGTCAACCATGAGCCATTCGACTCTGTGTTCCAGCCAGCTCAGGTTATCTCCACCTGATGATTCCAAACCTGGACGAAACCACCGTCGTTGGGTGCCAGTGTTGTGCTGAGCAACACCATAATATTTCCATTTTACCTACGGTCCTTGTGATCGAAATGACCGAGGTCCACCTCAAGTGAATCGAAGTCACAATAGAGGTGGCTTGTAGCAACCCATGTACACAGCGGATACTCCAAGTCCAAATTTGAAATTGATCTTTTCTCTTATTCCATTCACTTACATGAACTTAAAACCTCAAATCTAATGTGTCATAGCCGTGGACCTCATTTGAAGAAGAGTTTGAACAAATAAAGAATTTCATTGAAAACGAAGACATAGCAGAAGACGGAAGACAACAAAACTACTTTTCATTGATGCACTATGATCTACTATTCGGAAAAGTGTTAAATCACTGGGCCTAAAACACACCTCTTCACTGCAAGCATCTAAGATGTTTACTATTAAATCCTTAAGATCGTGTTTCTGGAAGTTATTTGATTTCATTACGCTATTTTAAAACAAGTAACGCGGATCAGTTCAATGAGATGGTTAGGGTAATACAGTTAGTTTTAGCTTTGGCAATCTACTCAGTGAATCGTATTGATCGATAGGTAGCTGGAATGCTAGGACTGCAGATATTTCTGTGGTCATTGATGTTAATTTAGCAAGATTTTCCAACACAAATAATGCTAACAGTTCAACAACGTATGGGAAAAACAACGCAGTATCTTTCTCTGAGGCTGCTACCATGGTTTGAGTAAAGGTGATGGTCTGAGAGAAGTTCTTGCATACTTAGACTGCCTAACTTGAATGCTTTTGTCATGAGCATATGTTACCAGTAAGCTGCGTGGTTCTGGCGCCACAATTTACCACACACACACATTACGATCATAATTTCGTTTTACACTTAAAAGCAGAAGAAATGTAGTATTTTGGCAGTTGTGGAGTCAGCAAATGCTGTGTTTGACTCCAGCGTGGCTCCACCAGTTTAAGTTTGATTTAAAGATAGGCAATCCCCTTGGGTTGCTAATCGCTTCGAAAACATCAAAGGTTCAGATTAATGGATATTTCTGTTTAGGTGGGCTAATAAAATACAGTGTATGGGGAAAGAGGAACGCAAATAAATGAAGTGGCTTACGAACATACTTCGACATAACTTGTCTCTTTTAATTCCTCTTCGATGCAATGCTTTGATCTTGTATTTTGCTTGTTTTACTTCAAACATACTGGTCATTTTTTCATGCCCGGTCTTCCATCTTTATCACAGGAGGACGCACGATTGCTGTTTACGTGCAGCGATCAGAACGAATTCCAAAATTTATCCCCCGAAGTGTCTGGGGCCTTAGCACGTTTATGGCAAGATCAAGGAGTTCGAGAATGCTTCAATCGATCGGGAGAATATCAGTTAAATGACTCAGCAGAATAGTAAGATTTATGCGCATACGAAGTAACAGCTGACTTACTCTTTAATTATTCGGTAAAATCTTTTCCGTAAATTGGCTGTCGTGGTTGCTTTAATTCTTATTTTATGATGTCCCCGTCTCAACTGAGAAAAGTATAGGGGCTTTAACCAGTGCAATTTTCTATATCTACGACAGAATGGGTTCTCCTTCTTCATACATTCACTTCAATTGGTTACTGAATTCAGTTTTATTGTAAAACTATAAAATGAGTTTAACTGTTGTTCAAATGTCTTGAGATTATGGCTCGGTCCTTAGTCTCCATTCTCACAACTCACCGCGGCTAATGCGCGTGCTGCATTTGGAGACAGATGTTGCACGACTGTAACTAATTACTTGCCACGAACCGCTTAATTTTAAACTACGTGTGTTACAATTTAACATAAAAGCTTCATCGACGAGTGCTTGATGTATTATTCGTGACAAAGTGGGACGATAATCGCGACAACTGAAATGTAACTAGGAGAATAATCAAGTTATTGTTCAAAGTGTTATTTCAAGTGACACATTAGGGATAAGAAGATCTCAAGTTTTGCACTGTATGATGTTAGAACACGTAAGTCCATGCTGGTGCTTAAGGGAAAGTTGGATTTTTATTCTCTCTCGGCCCCAATTCCGCCTGTTGATGGTCCTTATACTGGCCGGGCTTAGACAGCCAGCAAGACATTCGACAACACCACCCAATCCATTCCTTTTACTCAGCTGTTAGCTCAAGCAAATTACAATGCCTAAACAATCAGCCTTTGGACTGTAGGTCTAAACCTTCTGCCTATTATCAAATCCGGCTCTTTGAACGACCGACCTTACTGTACGGTTGTGAAACCTGGTCCCTTAAAGCAGCGGACCTGGAGAGGTTAGTTACGTTCGACCACCGGTGCCTTCGCAATTTAGCTCACATCTGGTGGGAACACCGCGTGAACAACGAGCGTGTTTGACGTCGTGTTTACGGCACAGGAAAAGGAAATGAACCACTCAGCACCGTTATTTCACGCACCAGGCTCCGATGACTAGGCCACGTCTTACGCATGCCAGCCCACCGACTCTTGCGATGTGCGTTGTTTGCGCGCCGGGGGTGTGGATGGAAGAAGAGGAGGGGTGGCCAAGCGATGATTTGGTCGAGAGGAATGAAGGCCCTCACTTCGAATCTGGTCTCGGTTGGAGCGTCTCGGCTCTCTGGTTGGGTTCCGAAAGACGATGAACGCGCTTGGCTGGATACACCTGCTGATATGGCAAGAAGCCGACCTCAGTGGCGTTTGTGCCGTGAGTTTCTTTGTCCCACCCCAACCCTCTTAGCCTCCCATTCCAACCACGATCTCACTATTTAGCTTTATATACTTCAGCATAGCAATTTTTTTGATACACAGTAGCCGGCTGGTACCTTATCTGAATGATGACCATCCGTTACCGGTAGCTAAGCCGACTTGCACCAGTTGCATTTTTTCGCCTTTTTCTTATATGTATTGCGACCCTGTAGTTTAGGTGTTTCCCACCTCTAGCTAACGTGTATAATGACGATAATGATCCATCTTACACGTGTGTTTTGCTGCTACCGAATCACTTAGTAAAGCACTGTACTCAAGCTCGTTCATCGGTGGCCAAGACAAGCGCATTTTGGCCTGTGTACACATATGCACAATCCTAGTATCTCATTTTGTGGACACAGTTGGTCATTCTGTCTTTGGCAGTAAGTCACTCATATGCACCGGCGTCGAAAGCAACATTTATCTCATCTGCGTTTAATGTCCTCCGGGTGGCCTCTGAAGATCCTTCTTTAAAGTGAACCTATACTGCCTTAATCCACTCCGTTGTATCCCGTGGATGTCAGTTTATAGCCTTTGGCTACTGACTTCTCACCAGCCATCTCTGGTGCCTCCTGGTATTTTTACCTGCTTCCGTGCGATCTTTTAATTATCTTCCTCTGTACACACGGTCTATTCTGTAAAACGATGATAAGACGGCTCGAGCATATACATGCTTTTGTGACCTAAACTATATTGTAATGTGTCGAACAGTTTATTGAATATCATCGTCTTAACTTGGCTAGTCTGAGGACTGCCAGTGGACGGATCAGGGGAAGAGACCGAACATAAAACAACCACTACCCCACCAATCGCAAGGACTTTCCTCTGATGACCTCGTACAATGAACTACCTGGGATAGGACCACCCCTCTCCGCTATTGGCCTGTATGCTTGCATTCAATTTTGGTTTTACACTGCAGTTATCCGGCAGCGCATTTACTCGACAGACGCTAAAACGGACCACGTACTTATCTTTTGTAATAGTAGTAGTTACCCCAGCCATCCCACGACACTAGTCAACCACATGCTTTTTATCCATAATAATTTTATAATATGTTACTTGAAATGACGTTTTGACTTGTAACTTGATTACCCTCAAGCCTATTATCATCCCAGTTGGCCATAAATGCTACGCAATGATTCAATTGTCCTTGACGAAGCTTTTGTGTCAAAACGGTGAGTTTGGTTTTTTCCAAGCCCCACTGAAATCACGGATGTTCGATCGGTTCGTAGTATATAGCAATATGCTGGGTTCTGTTCTATCTTCCAGCTATTTTAATTCACTGCATCGAATCAGTGCAGAGGACTACGTTCCGACGCTTCAGGATGTCTTAAGAACGAGAACCAAAACCACTGGCATAGCAGAAATGCGTTTTACTTACAAAAGTTTGAACTTCAGGTAGGTTGGGAATGTTTCTTTCTGCATGTTTTCCCCTTTTTAGCATGCTTTAAGTTGTCGGGCATATTAAAGCCCGGGAATGTACCCCAGAGTTAAACTAATGAGTTTGTAGGGAAGAATCCGCGCCAGCTCCAGTTAGTGCACTAGAATTCAATGCATAACAGTGGGACAGTAACTAGAAATAACCGATGCTTCGCAACTGATGAATGAAGTTATCATAGTATGTCTTTTGATATATTATTAATGAGTCGAGTTCGCAACTACTATGGCACTGTTGCATTAAGCAATATTTTCTAGTACTGATTGCAATTATGTTTACACTTTAAAAGCTAATAAAAACGGTATTCCATTAGTTAGCATATTCCGAGAACCTTATGATTCAAATAACTGCTTACTTTTGAACCATTGTTCACTGTTATTACAAATAATCAAGCCGCTTATTAGCTTTGAGGCAACATCGTAAGATTTGTGGAATCTTATAGTCCGACGTCACTGGAAACTACGACCGCACTCTTAAAATGATGTCTTCTTTAGGCCTTCATTAGTGTCCTCAATACATATTAGTTGAGGGTGTGAAGCACACTTCAGCTAATGTGGCACAATACAAAAAGATGTGATATCAAATAGTATAGAATAGAAAAAGTAAAGAATAATATACCGCCAAATATCACATCACGCACCATCCTTAGTTCTTATTTTATACGTTTATCCTTTAGTCCCCAGTTGACCATGTTGTAACTAGTGGGTTTGCAGCTGCAACCCAGGCTTATCACTAAACTCCGGGTGTCGCTGTATCTATCTTACCCTCGCTCTTATACATCGTTACCCTGTGTCATGTATGAATATCAGCAGCTCCGAGTAGGTGACTGTAACAGTCCACCCAAAGCATTTTAAGTAGCTTCATGGAAGTATACTGCTATGCTTCGGAAGATTTACCAACTGCGAAAAATAGTCACTTTAATGGACATGCGCCCTTGATTATAATCGTTTGCGAATCAATAATGCGTTTCTGGCGTTAAAGCATAAACAATGGAGGTGTGCGTTGCCATTTTCCACCTGGTACTTGGACTTACGATGGTCGTTTTGTAAACATGACTAGTGGCCTGCAGGTGTGAAGAAGAGCACTGGTTTACATCAAAAGTCTTAAAATATAATGGAGAGAGATGAGACTCATTGTGGGACAGACATGATGGAAGTGATATCAGAACATTAATACGCTTTGTTCTACTGTGCAGTCGTAAGGCCAAACAATGGCCTTTCAAGGTCTTTGCTTAAGTCATAACATTAGTTCTGACTGTTTTTCATAAGAACCTGTATGAGGTAGTTGTTATACCCAGGTAAAACAACATGGGATAGCCTTGAATCAATCACGTCAACCACAGAAAACAAAATAAAAAGCACCATGACTCCAGTAAAAATTGATTTTGCTCAATTATTCCCTAGGTTATAAGTTAACCAAAGATTCAGTAAGGCTGGTTGTAATCAACAGCATAACAAGTGATATGGTTAGATACTTCGACTTGCGATCATGATGCCAATCGTCTCATCACATGACTGAAGCCAGGTGGGTTTGCGGAGTGTGGTCGTTTCCATCCCGTCTGATGGTCGGCCAGACAGTTGTCTCCTCAAGTCTGTAGATTGCTTTATGCACGAAGCACGGGTGAATATTCATCCAACACACACTCGCTTTCAGCGATAAAACATGTCGTTCGAAAAAGAGTGGGACACTACTCGAAAAAGAATAACATCATAGCATATACTGGTTTGTTAATTCTTGGACAAAAGTAAGAGTGGCAGCCATGCCACTTCACCTACGCCTCAACCAGACCTAACACGTAGACTTGTCGATTAGTTACTCGGCTTCAGTGACTCACCGATTTTAAACCAATTGTGTCTATGCTACCTAGCTTTATTGTGGTTGGATTAGCCTGATGATGAATCCCTGAAAACGAGCTCGTTCGCTTCTTTCTTTTTCTGATGCCGTCCCTAGGAACCATATCTCAATTGAAGTGAATCATTTGACCTATATGTTGTCAGCCTCCTCTCTTGAACGGTATTTTCGAGCTGGTTTAAGTCTTCCGAAATACAAGCAATAAGTCGATATTTCCTTGAGCCCTTTATTGTTGTTTGTGTGATATTGACGCCTTTCCTGCACTAGGCAGTTTTATGTTGTTGAACGTATAATATCTTTAAAGTTGTCAGAGATCTGACCAAAGGGTCAGCACATTCCTTGAGGACAACGGGAGACAGGCTGCCTGGACCACTTGTTTTTCCTGAGTGAAGCTGTTTCAGCAACTTGCGTACCGTGCTGATGTCGGCAGAGGGTAGTGAGTCTGCAGACAATTTACGTTGCGCGTAGGTTGATCCAGACGTCAGACTGTTGTAGATGTTGCGGAGGTCATGGTTCAGTTTCACCCCATCTACCTCGGTGGATGATGTATATCGAGTAGGCCCGCGTAGTTGTTTTAACATACTCCAGAGCTACTATTCTCGATATAGCCTGAATGTATACGTTGTTAAGACGGCGCAACTCCTCCTTAGCTTCAGATTCAGATGGGACTGGGACGATAGGAAAATCCCTTGAGAGTTCCTTCTTGAGCGGACCGTTGATCCAGGAAATGATAAGGTGCTAGGAGGTCTTGGTGGACCTAATACCAAACACCCGAACCACACCTTGGTCAACCAATTACTGCCACGTTTTCTGCACTAGCAGTCCCAGTTTTGTAGGTCACGTGAAGTAAGGAAGACGTCGAAAGCAAATGGAAGAGAAAGCGGTAACACCAAACAGTGAGGAAAATGACAGAACATGAACTTAACCTTGAAGATGGATGTGGTCAGTAGGAGGGAAAGGTTTCATGTTGCAACCCAAGAGCGTCTAACTGACGCTCAGAACCCTTAACTGTAGGTTCACTGACTACACAGTCTGGAAGCGAGTTCCAGCGCTCGATAACTCTACGCTATAAACGAGTTTTCGCCCTGATCCGGTTGGAAGGCGGCTTGTGTAGCTTCGTATGATGATTGCAAAGACAAGGCAACCAAGCCGGGCTAAATAGCCAGCTAAAGTCTGGCCCAACATTCCCCGTTAAAATGCGGTAAGTAAGGATTAGGTCTCTTCGAAGCCGTCGGTATTGCATTGAATACACATTGCATACGATTTCCCCTTAACCCATCGAAAAATTTGCTACCTACTGTCAAAACCCCGTCGAGCTCCATTTTGTCCCGAACAAGTCATGGCGGGCAAGCCTGGACGCAGTAATCCAGATGGGGTCTAACAAAAGCTAAGAACAACTTCACAAATATGTCGGCAGTTCAGACCCCGAAAGAACGGCGTATTAACCACAACGTTCTGAAACCCCTAGTTGCGGCCTTCTTCTAGTTGTCATCAGAATGCAAAGAGGACGAATAGATGACGCCTAGGTCTACATGATTGGAGACAAAGGGAGTTCGATCCCACCGAGCACGTATCTCGAAGGTGGGAAAGTTGCTCCTATACGAAGGACGGAACAGTTAGCCTGATGAATGGGCAGTAGCCACAAAGCAGACCAGTCCCAGAGTCCGTCCAGGGCATGCTGTATGGCCTCAGAACCCCAAGGAACATTCACAACATTCCATAGGTTAAGGTCATGAGCAAACAATGGGGATGATACCCTAAGCTCACCAGAGAGATCGTTTAGGTAGATAGAGAACAGCATCAGTTCAAGGACCGAGCCCTGCGGGACACTTTTAAGAACCGCCTGTCTAAAGGATAAGCTGCGACCCACACGTACATACTTCTCTCTTCCCTGCAAGAACGCAGAGACCTAGTGAAGCTCGCGGCCAGATACGCCGTAGGAATTCAGTTTTTCTGATAGCCTCAAGAGCGGTACCTTATCAAATGCTTTCGAGAAGTCGACGAAAAGCACATTCACTACGTGGCCATTGTCCAGTGCCTCGGCCCAAGCTTCAAGAGCAACCAACAAATTCGTCAGACACGAAAAGCCCTTACGGAATCCGTGTTGTGCACTACTGAGTAGGTTAAATCTATTCAGGTGACCTTCCAAAGAATTTCTTACCAGCTTTTCAAGCAGTTTGACCACGATGCTAGTCAGACTGACTGGCCTATAATTGACTGACAGACTCCTGTCGCCTTAATGAGAGCAGATAAGGACTTGCCTAAAGTTTTGCCTTTTCCTTTGAAAGTTTTTCCTTTTGTTGCAGTGAGTGCACCATTTTCTTCTGAACACACAGGTCTGGGCTTGCGAGCCATGTGATACTGTTTCCGCAGCAACAATTAGGTCTGCTTTTACTTGATAGATCTGCCTAGGCGGTATTCTGCAGATAATCTGGAAGGCAGTTCATTTGTTTATCTGGTGACCGATGTTGCTTACATGGTTCATTATTGCGTTGTTACTAGTCCTGTTTTTGCTATTGGTAAACCAACGCAAAAATATTCTTTTATTTCCTAGCCTAAATGTCTGGTCATGCGTTCGACGTATCGAGCAACACAAGGTCAGGTGAACCGGTAGATTAACATTGATTAGAGAAGACCAGGCAGTGGGTCTTTGAATCTAAGAACCATTGAAGGCCTTCCAGTGAAAACCAATTTTAGTCGGACTGTATTAGAAGTCATTTTGCGGTTTTGGCTTGATCAGCCTGTGCATATTTCAGCTACACTAATAATAAATAATAATAATACTTCTTTTGAATGGAAGAGTCCCTAATAGCCATATTTTCGACTGTTCGTTGAGGCAATTTTTGTTTGCCTCGCATTATATCGCTCTCGATAAAGCGCTCCGGATAGCCGTTCTTCAGAAGTGTTACTTTGATTCGTTTGCGTTTGGCTTCATTTGTATCTTAGTTGCAGATTGTGTATGTCCAATCACCAACGTCCTTTTGCGGCTGAGTTGGACGGATCTGTGAAAATTCGTGTATCGCCCCGTCCAATACGGTTTCCTGTATCCATTTACTTGTATTGTTCCCCCGTCCCTATTGGCGAGATTTGCGTGAAGAACATTCATATGCTTATTATTTTGTTCCTCCGCCGTAAATGTGGCACTGACTGGGCCTTGTCGAAACTATCGACTACATGCTACTTTCTGACAATTTGATCACTCATAACAATATACATCGCCTGCATAAAGCCGGAACAATTTCTGACGGATAACCTGTTTCAAGGAACTGATTTCTAGCGTCCCCATAGAGATGTCCGCTAACAGTGAACGACGCGGAGATGCCTTTTCTACGCCATCTACCTGTCCGTATAACACATCGTTGAATCGGAATTGAACGTTTTAGCTACATTTGAGTACGCGAGTCTTCAGCCGGATGGTTGGCGTTTATGTCTTGTTGGTTAATGTGCACGCGTAGGGAATCAACTGTTTCTATCAGAGGCACGTTAGTAAACAATAAACCATTGTCCAGGGGAAGCATCCTGCAACCCAGGACCAGATATTTAGGTAAGAGGACCAGGGAACACCTCTTGAATTGGCTCACCAATCACGAAAACAGGACTAGTTACAACGCAATTACAAACACCGGTCATCAGATAAACAAACTAACTGCTTTTCAGATATTCTGCAGAATACCGTCTAGGCAGAACTATCGAGTAAAAGCAAACCTAATTATCGCCGCGGAAGCAGTATCATACGGCTAGGGAGCCCGGACCTGTGTGTTCAGAAGTAAACGGTACAGTCACTGTAATTGCCGTGAGCGACCGTCAGACGCGAAGGTAGTGACTGCATTCTGCAAAGGTACCTGACTTCAATCATTTGATCAAATAATTAGAATCATGATCGCAAATCGAATTACGTCAAAACTGGATTACAAACAATCCATTTCCTTTGATTACGAGCGTTATTAAGTTCGCAACTCAGGTTTTTACGAAGAATCCAGTAAACACAGTAGCCCTGCGTTAAACATTGCAATGTTTAATTGATGAAGTCCTTGAGCGTGTCATGTAAGTTGATTACTATTAATTACAAGGTTACCGACCAACACTACTTTGCACACAACAAGTAATTACCCAGCTTGCATTCAGGCAAACGGCTAACGCAACGTCTGTGTATGAAAGGCGCAGGAATCGTACGAAGCACAAGGAGAGGTGTAGGAAACATGTTTCTCTGAAGAAATGAATTTGAAGGAAGGGATTCATTGTCTATTTGGTCTGTTGTCCCTCGTTGCCTATTTCCAATATCTGTTCCTATCTGCCTGCTGCATCTTAGAATCAGCACACAGCTTTCGTTTCCACTGGTCTTTTTCTGGATATCTCTCATTGTCATTTATCTAACGCTAAAATCAACAAGCTACGCACTAGTGTTTTAAATACTATGACACCAGGAAGAAAAACACTTTAGGGAAGCAATAAAGTCGCAGGTCGCAAGAATAACTCATTACATCCAACTATCCGTATAGTGATGGGCTTGTTGTTCAGTGTTATATAATATTTTGGTGTCCGTGAAATGTGTATTCTCGTCAGCAGCTCATAGAATCGTCACTGCATGATGTTAGCAAACTAGGTTTGACTGTCGAATTGAGTCAGCATTGTCTAGGCGACCTCTTTTCCTAGTCACCCTTGACACATTACTGCGTACATTCGGGTCAAGAACAAATGACACAATTGACGAATAGTTAGTGGACCTCGCTGTCAGTGTTGATGAAGATGGTTGGCGCTCCACATGTCAATCCTGTGCATCAGTTCTTACTGTGTTATTGACCGTCGCGAAACTACTTTTATCTTCCAAATGAAAGCATACAAATCATTAATTCTGTTTATCTGGCAAACTCATTCAACTATTTCTCGTATCCCAACAAAGTCATTTTTTGCACACTGGCATACCGCTCTCCATGGTTTTTTCTGATCTACTGGGTAAGCACTTTAGTTACATCTCTAGGTCACTTTAAAACTTGTCCTGATGTAGCGGTCTATGACCAATGAATTTTCTTAGCTTACCTATGCCTATCCAGATTAGTTCTTGCAAGAGGCTGGCGTCAATGCTAATTTCCGACGCAGGTCACCAGCTTCATTGTGTATTATCAAAATGTGTGCGGATCTAGTCAACCAGACAGAAATGTAGGTCCTGATAAACTCGAGCACGAGCTTAACATTCGTCAGTGATTTCTTGTCGAGGACGATTTTCGTTAGACAATAACAAAGTCGTCCGGGAAGTATCGAATCAATTTACGCTATCATGGTGCTGTATTTTCCAACTTACTTATCCAGCATTGTTGGATTACGTTTATATCATGTTACATGGTCGACAGCGTGTGTGTTAGGGTTAAATATTCACCCGTCCTGCGCACAAATCACTTTCTTGACTTTGCTTGACTACGTGGAGAAAGTTTCTTTAATAAAGTCAGTTAGATAAGGGTTGAGTTTTCCATTATATCTCATGCGTGTTTCAAGTTTGTTCTTAGTCCTAAACGGGCTAAATATTCAGGAATCGATTAACAGCCGTATCGTAATTTTCAGGTTGCTTGAATTGGGTGGTCAAAGGTCAGAACGGACGAAGTGGATACAATGCTTTGAAGGGGTAACTGCCACCATCTTCGTAGCTGCGTTGAGTGAATACGACATGGCTCTGACGGAGCGCCAATACACGGTGAGCTTCGCAATAGCAGTAGGAATTCATGTTGAAAACTGGATTCCCAATTAGGATGCATATTTTCTCTCTACTAGTTCTCCCGTTGTGGTGGAACAGTTCTATTCTCAAATCAATCGCATCATAACTGTACTTGCACCACATTATAAAAGTGCCTTTGCTGGTCCTAAGAAGGTAAGTGACACGCTAAGTGACCTGAAAAGGAGAAAACTAATCGGGAAAATCAGCCAAACTAAACTTCTAACTAATAGTACAGCTACACGAATCCATCGCCTGCATCAAAAGGGAGTGAGCAACGCCTTGCGGATTACATACAAAGCAGAGGAACTGACCGAATTCCTCCGTTATAGGACTAATTTTCGGATGTCTTTGAGCACAGAACTAATTGATGAGGAGACTTGCCACATTAACTGCCTACCTATTTCTTTGGCAGTCGGCGTATTAAAACCTACTTCCTGGTGATACTCTCACAATGAACTGTAATAAACTGACACCATCACTCGACCTTTGCACATGGCCGCGCAACCCGCCTCAGCATCTACACTAAGTGCCATACATTATGTACTAGATTTCATAGCCTTCGCTGCACATCAATATACAGGCTTAGTCTGTCTAATATCAATCAACTCCCTCTCACCTCACGTTCAAATCACAGATTCCGACGGATCATCACTCCTCTCCAGCAGTTATTATTCTGATCTGCCGGCGCGTACCATTGTATAATACATCATTGCTCTACTACAATAACCGCGTACTCTCCAGACCTTTCCAGAACTTGTCCACCGCATCCCCCCCCTTCGCACCACCCCCGAACTAACTCCCCCCCCATGCCTCCATCCGTGCATGCACTTCCCTCCACCTAGAAAAATTCTGCGACCCCCACGCCCCTGCACTGACCTATTACCCCCGCGCTCATATTTCCTCTGCTTTACTTGTCACGTGTCCCATTCTCAGCCGAGCACCGACCCACACCCCTCCTATCCCTCCGCCCGTACCGTCACTAGTAAGTATCGCAACTATAACTTCATACTCCGCCCACACCGTGTGTCACTCCCTATCTAGAATCGAGATGTATCAGCATTGCCTCTCGTCTCAGACCTATATCCTCCATCTCCGCGTGTCTACCCCATACCACCCCCCCATCCCACTCTACCACTCCCCCCGGCGCCCTCACCCGCCCGTTTCACCTCCGCGTATCCGCTGCCCCCGCCCCCCCGCCCCTGTCTTGTGTTCAGGCTATGCTCTCCCTCATCACGATTCCGCCACCCCTGCCCCCCCACCCTGGAGTGCGTCTCCCATAGCCACTCGTCGATCTACACCGACTCACACCCGCCGCCTTCTCTCACGCGCCCCCGTAAGGGCGCATCCGTGCACTACACCCGCGCGTTTCTCGCTATAACCCCTACACCAGCCACCTGCCCTCACGCCCACCACATTCTTCCCTGGCCCATCCGCCGTGACTCGCCCCGCCAGAGTCCCTCCGCGTCGACCCTCGCCGCCCTTATGCACCCAATCAGGATCCCACTCGTCTCAGCATCCTCCGTCGCGCGACATCCACGCCCCCCGCGCCTCACTCGTAACCAACGTCGAGTCAATCTTCTCCTGCCACTCCCCCCACCTGATAAATGTGTTGATTACCCCACTCCCTGCCACGCTACCCCCCCACTACAACATTTTAGGGTTGCGGCGCAACATCCCGATGTCATGTCGACTAATCGAGCCCACGTTCATTAGCTAGAGATTATCCGCATCGCACGGTCTGGTCCCTGTTCTCATGTCCCCTCAAACTGCCCCTTCCAGACCAGCACCACACTGGTTAACTATAACCCTCATCCTCCAAATCAGGATCAGTGATCCTCTGGTACCTTTCACTCTACTAGATTCCCCCTGAACACTTCGCGCCACAACAATGTAAACCCATATATCTCAAGCTATGCATCCGTGATGTGGGTAGCTCACAGCGCGCCATATTGTATCGCCCACATACCTGAACCTGTTTGACATCTGAGGAATCCCCTCAACCGCACACTTAACACTCGCCGACCGCACCGCCTTATGCTCAGTGATGGAGCCGTACCCGCGTACGCCGCGAGGAAACTGTCCCGAGAGCTGATGCGCGCTCTCATCAATCGTGCACCCACCCCACGACCCCGCAACTCCCACCTCCACACCCACCCCCCCCACACATACAGAGTAACTAGCTCAGACACTTCCCTCACGCCCGACCCACCCCCCCCCCACAAAAACTAAATTCATATTCCTGCCGCCCCCAAACGCGCCTACTCACTGCTTCCTCTTCCAGACACATCACCCCAAGGGACGGAAGACCTGCTCCCGTCGCTCGGTCTCCAGATCCACAACATACAAACGACCCGCAAGCCACCTGTACCACCTCTTCCCCACCGCGCCCGCCTCTCCCACACGCCCACTCTAGGCCTCCTGTCCCTCACGCCCCCCCGCCTCACACACTACCCACGCACCCTCGCCCCTCTCCTTCCTTCTGCCCTATACAAGTCGCCTACATGCACTTGACCCAGGCCATAGGCACGCCTAATGTAGAGGATACCATCACACCGCCCCACTCACATCCTACCCTTACCCACCCACCCTAGCATGACCCCCACCTCGCCCCACCCCATCCACCACATCGCCTGTCCTCCTCCGCGCATAGTATCGCGCTAGTCCGCCACCTTTGCCTAAGCCGGCCTCCCGGATCACCTCCCCGCTGATCCTCGCCCTCTCGCGGCGCCCCCACCTGACTGTACTAGCGCACTATCCCCTCGAGAACTCTCGAGCCATACTCGCTCTCGGTTCGCGTCCGACACTGCGCCCATCTCTTAACCCTGGATCACCTCGTCGCCTTCTCCACAGCTCCGCCAAGGCGCCCACCATCGCGACGCCCTAGTTGCACGCCTCCCCCCCTCACCTCACAGCTCATCGCGCGCCTTGCCATTCGCGGGCATCCCCCCCGTCGAACTTTCCCTCACCGCGCGTCCACTCCACACATCCCCATAGCCGCTCGTGCATGCACCGCTACCCCGCGTCCCGTCGCGCACCCACCCCTGTTCACACCGCTCCTACATCAGTGCGAGCCCTCCAAAATCGCGCCCTCAGCACTCGCCCGCGCCCCCACGCTCTGCAGTCCCTACAAGGGCTGCCCGGGCATGTCCCACTGCTGCGACGTGATCTATACCTCGTTCTTTTGGTAGCTAAACGGCTGATGTGTTTGAGGAAGCTTTCTCGCAGCGTTTGTACGACCCCACTAGGAATATTGCGTCACAGAACCTGTCCACCAGGCATTGATCCGGGTCAAACTGGCCACCTAGAAAGGGTGTTGCTATGTCCGTAATAGTGGCAAGGGATTACGAGGGCAACGTACCCGAACGCCGTAAGCCTAGCTTTGGCGGATTCAAGTCAATGCACTATCGATATGGATTTGCAGAGGAAAACCTATAAGTCACCCCGCTCACTCCCCTCTCGCTCACCACCACGCCCTATCTTGATATACTCGGAGCTATGCGTCTCGCCGCACTACCGGTATCGTAGTAGTGTCTCAGGAGAAGTTTCTGATGATACGTCTGGTAAGTTCCCTGCAGACCCTCGCTCGCGCCTGCGCCCACGTGACCCCCGGAGTCCCATCGTATATTAGCTGGTGAGAACAGACATCAATGCCAGTAACGGTGTCCCTAGACCCCTACGACCTCTATACGAAGACTCGTGCCTGCTAGTGACTCCTGTGAGACTCACCGTAGATATCGTGACGAGCACACGTACGTGTGAGCCTACTCGTGCACATACGCACAGTTACTAGAATCTAAGCTTAGACATGACTCACTAATGATGTGTGTGCAATGAGGAGTACTGTCATTCCGCGTTAGTGACCAGTGGGGTGTTCATCTCCGAGACATATCTCACTCTCTCTCACCGCACAACTCCCTCGACCCCGTTTCGACCCCACTCACACACCTGAGCACGCGGTACACCTTACCACGAGACCACCATATAACCCCCTCCCGCAGACCGCCGTGTCATATCGCATGATCTATGTAGTCTCTTTGCGGCACACAGGATCTCTCTATATGATGCTGTCTTCTCTTTCTCATTCTCACTCCAGCTAATGTACGCATTATCACCTACTCTCCCTCTGTAGTGTCACTTCTTCACCTTTTCCACCCTCCACACCCGCTCCTATAATCGCCGCGACGGTCCGTCTATCCTCTGTAGTGCCTCATGTCCCCATTCCCCTCACTCCAGTGTGTTCCAGTCTCCCTTAGAAATGTCCTTCCACCACACTCCTCCTCCCGTCCTAGACGAGAAAGCTATCTTCCTGCTATTCTATCTCCCTGTCCTAACGATACCCCCCACCACCTACACCGCAATCCTCAACAGCACATACCCCTTGCTCAGTCCCTGTTCTCGCCGCCTCAATGAACCACCCTATACTATCCCTTATTGTGACGGCCTTTCTCGAACGCTGAGCGAGAAGACCATCAATACCCGCCTCCCATTATCCTCCGCGCAATGTGAGCTGGAAACGATGTGTCCCAGTGTGGCTAATGTGAGACACTGACATTGGGCGTAGTACCACCTAGACCAGCCTGCGGTGATATGTGGAGGACGTGATTCGTACTACTTTGTAAGTCTCGCCATAGTGTGGTATCGTCTCAATTGATAGACAAAGCTGTGGAGCCTCCCTTACCCACCTCGCGCTCGTCACCTATAGCTATGTCGCCCACGTCGCTTCGGGCTACCCACCCGCCTGCAACCCGGTACAGGCAATCAACGATGTACACGACGGTTCTAAGACGCTAAGATCTACTAGCCACAGGACCTCCTATCTCAGCGATACCTCACACCGAGCGATAACACCGTCTGTAATATTTGCTACTATTACGATTAGTCCGCGCCACGAACCTCATATGTTTCTCCTTCGCGCGCATCTATTACGCACCACTCTCAGTAATCCCCGCGGGATCCCACGCCATACGTCTTACAGAGCC